AATGAAAATATCATCGCAAACTTAGCAAAATTTTTAAAGGGTTTACATTATGAAATACATCCATAGATTAAAAAAAATATATACACAAATATCTACTCGGTGTCTTTTCACAATTTCTTTAGTGTTTGATTGGATGTGTGATAAGTAAGACCTCATTTCTTTTTTAGTTGAGTGAAGTCTTTCTTGTGTCCTATTTTTATGTTATTTAGGGTATTAAAGCCTATTTCACATAAATACGAAGTAGAATTTGCAATAAATCTGATAAAGCTTTTTTAACAAATGTGGGATATTCATTTTATATTGAAATCCAAAATATATCAATGGATACCGTCGAATGCATTATTTTGAGCCCTTAAAGAATAAAAAATACTTCTTTAAATAAATTGCATTTCTAATATTTTATTCAAAAAGCAATTTCTTAATGTAGTTTTACACAGTAATAGTTTGTCCAATTTCGTCCAATTCAGAATAAAGTTTGCTCTTTGAATCCCATATAAAGAAATATGTTCCTCTAATACAGTGTTTCTGAACTGTTTTAAGCAACGACACAGCAAAATTTTTAAAGGTATACATTTTTAAATGTTATGAAATACATCCATAGATTGTTAAAAAAAATTGTTGTAGAGTAGTTTTCCCAGTGGAGGCTTGTATTTCACTAAGTTGTCCTAAATTAGGTTCGACGTACAAAACGTTAGGAACTTGAAAATAATAGTTAATGACGTAGCAATCTAGTTGTGGTGGATTGATACTTTAATGTCCGACATCGACTGACTCACTCAACTCAACTGAGCCCAACTGGCGACCGCTATTACTACTACTACTTATTATGTGTGGGAGAGACTATTAATAATAGAATAGGTACGTTCAGGTATAACAAAAATAAACACACAAATATGAATTTGCTTAATTTTAATGTTTCTATTCAACTACTTGTGCAGCTTATTTAGTGTTAAACCTCTGCCTTGTGTTTGTTTTTCGCGATTTCTGGAATTATTGATTGAATGTGCAATAAGCAGACCCTCATTTCATCTTCAGTTCAGCGCAGTTTTTTATTGTGTCTTATTTTTGACGTTCTTTAGGAAGCCTACTTCATAGAAATAAGAAGTAAAAAAAAGAGGCAATAAAACCGATAAAACCTTTTTTAGCTAATGTGGGAAATAACTTTTGTACTAAAATCCAAAATGTATCAATATGTACCGTTGAATGTTTACTTTTGAGCCCACGATCACTAGAAATGACAATATCTCATGGCGTCACGCAGTTGAGAATCCCCGAGTTAGATTGATAAACGTTTGCTATTTGTTCCAGTTCGATTAGCAGTAATCTTGTGCGGATCTATTTTTCACGAACATACATACATGCAAAAATACAAATCACATACAACGCCAAGCATTCATTGGTTGATTAATCACCACTAAGTTGTTATAGACAATTTACAAATCGCAGCAATGCTACAATTTTGTAATCGCTCTATTTTCATGTAGTCAGTTTTGTGCACTTTTGGGAGAAAAGGATCACAGAAAGCTTTCTTAAGTCTCCCCAAAGCTCGCTCGCTGATTGGTCGATGCCAACCAATCAGATCGTCTGCATGTGAAGAATAATTCTTCCCGCGCAGTGACCTGGAGCCTATAGTCACTTATTTAAGCAAGAATTTTTCATAGCTAATTAGTGAGAATTCAGCTGCCAAATGAATCCACGACAGTTGAAACCATGCGCCAACCTTCTCACTCACACACGCCACTCACATTCTGAACATACCTTGTATATACTCACATAATCTTTTCTAACGCGGCAGATCTTTTAAGAACAGTCATTATAAAAGACTCTCATGAACATTATTCCAGTGAACTTTGGAATGCTAAAATAACAGTTAAAGAGAGACAACTCTTGTTTTATTCAACCTTTTCTTACTTAAATGCATGCCTTCTTTCACATCATTGTTTGATATTATACATCTTGTTAAATACATATTTTATGTGTAACAATGTCTTTTGCTTATCCTTTTCTGTGTCAGCCCTGTTTCTTAATCTAAAGTTAAATTAATGTGGTGAAGTCCGCCACAGTTTAAATAGGTCAGAATTTAGTCAAATGGACTAAAATCTCACTTACATCACCCATTTTTGACTGTGGTAGTCGGAAGTGGCTAAAACGTTCGATTTCTGACCAAGAGACCCGGGGTTCGAATCTCACTATGGCTGATTTTTTAGGAAGGTGACTTCTCGATGTTACCTGCCTCTAGAGACGATTTCAGCGTGTGGCACCTTTGGAAAGTATCTGAAAGCCATACCACTGGTAAGATCCAAGGCTTGTGTGTGAAACTGGGTCAACGGAAGAATTTGGGAGCCGTCAATGTTTAAGCTAGCACAAAGTCGCAAGTCATCTTGACCGAGGTTCTGAGTGCACCAGACTTTTTCAGACGGTTGATCATACCAGATAATGCGATCTTTCCCAAAATCTGTAACTAGGGTCCGCTCAGATTAGTTGAAAGATAAACTACAGTTGGGCTCTGTAGGTTTTGGACAAAAACAAATGTGACTGATCTGACGTCTGCAACAGGGATTGTTTAGCTGTCCTAGCAGACAGGACAATATATTCATAACTTAAACCTCGATGTTCAACACCTCAAAACTGGAAGCATATAATAAAAAGTGGAATAGACACAACCTTGTCAGTGGAAATTAATAAAACTTGTGTGGATGAATTTTTGATGCCTGAATAAACATTATGAATGCGAGCGTGTGTGTGATTTCTTCAACAGTTTTGCCATTCAGATTGTGTATAAAAATTATTTTGCCTTAAATTAATCTTTCCGCCTATGTAAATATTGAAATCGTGTCTGTAAATATTGGCCTGGATTTAGTGGTCAGTAAAGCAAAGTCTTACTTCATCGTTCCTCACCATTTCGAACGACGGTGAAAATTTACGAGTGACCTATAACAGATAAGGTAAGAGCCAACGGCGGGTTGCCGCAGCCAAACAACTGGCACATTATGGTAGGAAAGAAACATTTTTTCTCCACATCGGAAACTAGTCGAATCGGACGTAAATAAAATAGGTAATCAATTTCTATCGAAATAGACTTTCTTGGTACCGAAGCCAACGGGTCAGCCATGATGAGAGGTGGTCGATATAGTATCACTGAGATATCTTCTTCAATGACCCTCACTTTGGGATTCGTAAATGTTTTCTTATAATTAATATTTCACACACACACATATATTATATATATATATTGTTGTGGTAGGATCCACCTAATTTGCATAGTGGAGTACCGACCATATAAATATGGTTGGTACCGGGAAGAGAGGAACGAATCAAGAGATTCAACCAGAGACTCTGCCCGACTGCGACTCGGTCAACACATTCTCCAGGAACGGTCTTACCAGGAATATACAAAAGACTATATGTAAATATTGCGTACACTTTCTTGTTTCAATACATTTTGTTCTAAGTACATTTTGTGTTGCATTATTATTCCCTGCATTAGTCAAGTTTCAACATATATATATATATATAGATAGATATATAGATAGATAGATAATACAATTGGTCAATAGATAGATAGATAGATGGATAATATTAGTGGTCAATATATATATATATATATAATTATTTATTTAAAAATATGATTCCAACTCGCGACATAAGAGGTCTCATGTTTCAAAACAAGAGCCGAAAACTTCAATATAATTATTTGAATTAAAGTCAGTTAAAGTAAGCTCTGTTCCATCTTCAAGCGAATTTTTTTTTTTTTTTTTTGGAATAACTTATTTCTGAAATTTACGTGTTTTGGCTTGTAATAAAGAAAGAACTAAGAACATGTAATTGAGGCGAAAACAATTGTCCAGGATCCCACCTCAGAGTCCAAAGAAAAAAACCTCCAAAATGAGTAAAGCAAAAGTAACCAAATAAAGTGCTCAATACACTAAGTAAAACAAATCTAACTATAAACCTAAAGAACCAGGCAAACCTACCTAGGTTTCACCTACGCGGATCGTCAGGGTGCACTGACGCTCCGCGGCAGTGAAACCTAGGTAGGTTTCCTGGCTCTTTAGGTTCATATATATATATATATATATATATATATATATATATATATATAATATATATATATATATATGCAAATAAATAAAAGAGCTCGATAGATAACAGATACATAAAGCTGGTCAGAATAGCCATATATGAGTAAGTAGCCATTATCTGAGTATTAATAGTCAGAGTAACTGATGTATATATATATATATATATATATATATATATATATATATATATATATACTAGCTTAAAAGCCACGCTACCGGGAGGCATTTAAAAAAACCTCCTGCGGATTGCTCTTGATTGGGCTTTCGGCTTGTTCAGGAGTATGACAGTCCATAAGTCTTCGATATTCTCCTGACTGTCGTCTGATCGGGGTTTCCATTTCTTTTCCTTGCTGCAGCCTTGGCTCTTTTGATTGCAATCTGGTCCTCTGTTGGTGGAGATTTCTTTTTGCAAGGCATACTGCTGCCGTATCCGATAGGCAACAATAAACTACAGAAAATATAAAAATTAATCGCTGCATTTAAGTATTGCATTAATATTTAAGCTTACATTTTAAACGGTCAACGATAATTCTTCTGCCACCACTTAAATAAAAGACAATTTGATGTACGTAGGTCTTTGCTTTCGATACAAAACATTGCTTTTATTTCATGACTGACTTTCGCTGGATTTCACAGTTAATTTCTCTTATTGCCAAATTTATTTCCAAGTTATAAAAATTGTTATCGTACTAAAAAATTCGTCGCAAAAAAATCACGTAAAAAAATATAGTTTAGTTCAATGAAGTCCTGAGACATGAAATGCGTCTCAAGTAAACTTTGTTCATTATGCCATGAAATTTCCACAATAAAAATGTATATGAAGGTGCCTATACGTGTTTGTGTGTTGATGTGTGTTTTGACAGAGAACATAATCACATAGGTAAATAAAGAGATACCTAGCTCTAGAAAGATATGAACGTAGATAGATAGATAGATAGATGCGAACAGGTAGTGATAAACATAAAAAGGCAGTGATAATTAGATACATAGATACGTACAGTAAGTGATAGATAAATATATAGAGACGAACAGATAATGATAGATAGATACATTGATACGTACAGTAAGTGATAGATAGATAGATAGATAGATAGATACGAATAGGCAGTGATAGATGCAAACAGGCAGTGATAAATAGATAGATAGATAGATAGATAGAGATAATGATAGATAAATACATAGATACGTACAGTAAGTGATAGATAGATAGAGAGAGAGAGAGAGAGATAGAGAGATAGATGCGAACAAACAGTGATAAACATAAACAGGCAGTGATACATAGATAGATACATAGATACGTACAGTAAGTGATAGATAGATAGATAGATAGATAGATAGATGAGGCATAGATGCGAACAAACAAATAGTGATAGATATAAACAGATACGAACAGATAATGATAGATAGATACATAGATACGTACAGTAAGTGATAGATAGATAGATAGATAGATAGATAGATAGATAGATAGATAGATAGATACGAATAGGCAGTGATAGATGCAAACAGGCAGTGATAAATAGATAGATAGATAGATAGATAGATAGATAGATACGAACGGATAATGATAGATAGATACATAGATACGTACAGTAAGTGATAGATAGATAGATAGATAGATAGATAGATAGATAGATAGATAGATAAATAGATACATAGATATAGATAGAAAAACAGGTAGTGATAGATAGATAGATAGATAGATAGATACGAACAGATAATGATAGATAAATACATAGATAAGTACAGTAGATAAATAGATAGACAGATAGATAGATAGATAGATAGATAGATAGATACAAACAGGCAGTGATAGATAGATATAGATAGATAGATAGATAGATAGAACAGGGGAGTGATAGATAGATAGATAGATACGAACAGATAATGATAGATAAATACATAGATACGTACAGTAAGTGATAGATAGATAGATAGATAGATAGATAGATAGATAGATAGATACAAACAGGCAGTGATAGATAGATAGATAGATAGATAGATAGATAGATAGATAGATAGATGCATACAAACAGGGAGTGATAGATAGATAGATAGATAGATAGATAGATAGATACGAACAGATAATGATAGATAAATACATAGATACGTACAGTAAGTGATAGATAGATAGATAGATAGATAGATAGATAGATAGATAGATACAAACAGGCAGTGATAGATAGATAGATAGATAGATAGATAGATAGATAGATAGATAGATAGAGTGGCTGATGGTTATAAATCGACTAGAAGAATCTAGAGACAGATATGATAAGACTGAGAAACACTTTGAGAAATTAGATGTATGCAGTGTGATCCATTTTCATACAAAAACCGAAATATTTTTTTTTCAATTTTTGGGAAGTTTCTATATATATATATATATATATATATTTTTTCTCGTCAATTCATTCACCTTCTATCCTTCCATTCGTCTTTCCAATATTTTCTTCCTTTTAGTTTTTCTCTTCGTTTTTTTTTTTTTTTCCTCCGCCTCCAATTCGTATCCGCCCAATTAACAATTCCCTCGGGCGAGAAGAGAGTCGCATCTTCAACTCTTGCCGGGATAACACGAGATTTGCCTTTTGTGATGTTGCGAGTTTCGCCTCCAGTTAAAAATCATGTGAATTTTTACTGGCTTTCAACGATTGCAACGTTTTCGGGTTTTTTCTTTCCGTTTGTATTTTTTTTTTTTTTTTTGGCTTTTTATCTTTTTTTTGTAACTCCTAAACACATCTTCAAAATCACTCAGACAATTTTTAATATTCCATTCAGAAAGAACATTTCTAAAGCAAATAAATAATAAATATATCTGAAAATATCATACAGAAAGTCTCCTCTACAGGGTACGATGGATAAATTGTCATCTAAATGACGTCAAAAATGAAAATAACACTAGCATCTCTTTTTAACACATACACAGGGTGCGATGGATAAATTGTCGTCTAGATGACGCAAAAAGAACAAAAACAAATGAAAATAATATTAACATCTCATTTTAACAGTGACATTTACCAAAATTACACAAAGATGTCTTGAAATACTAAGGAGTAAATTTATTCAGTAAAATCGCCATTGGCTTCAACTCTGGCCTCCAGACTACTTCGGAATCTCCTGCAACTCTTCCTGGCGGTGTGTCTTTGTTTAAGTTGGTGAATGATGCTACAAACTTAGCCTTCAGTACATCTTTGGTGCTAAAAGGAATTTTGTTGGTTCACACATATTAATCAAGGGGGTTGCACTCAGGGGACCTAGGTGACCAGATACCAGGAATATATATATATATATATATATATATATATATATATATATAATATATATATATAATATATTATATATATTATATATATATAATAATATTAATATAATATATATATATATATTATAATATATTAAATATATATAAATATATATCTTATAATGTATATATATATATATTTATATATATATACAATGTTATAACACATTATAAGATATATATTTATATATATATATATATATATATTATAAGATATACATATATATATATATATATATATTAATATTATATTATGTAAATAATTTATATATTATGTATTGTATCATAACTTTAATGTTTTCAGATATCTTACGATATATATATATATATATTATAAAATAAGTGATTTAAGATATGGTTTCTTCGCTACACAGTAATAACCATGTTTCAAAAACTGAAGCTAAAAACTTCAGTTTTAATTATATAATTACATTGAAAGCATTAGTTCCGTTTCCTCTTCAAGCGAATTTTGGAATATCGTATTTTTAAATTTACTGAGTTTTAAACGTACATATAAATTCATAATTTTTTGTTTCCAAGGATACAGAGAAATCCAATCATTTCGACAAGGGCGATAGTGTGTTCATTTTTATTAACTATTGTTTTATCAATTATGAGTTACGTTCGAAAAAGAGGTGACGTTTAGGTAGGGTAGGGGTGTATTTTTCAACAAATTTTGACACCCGTTCAACGCATGTCGTCTGTTTTTTGGGGTTTTTTTTACTATTAACAAAAGGTTTTTCGGCATTTTTCCGTTAAAATTCGTACTTGTATCCTTAACGATTATTTCTAAAAGAGGTGTTTGCGTTAGAATACGTTATATTTAACTACAATTTTAAAATATTAATTTTACTCTTAATTACTAATAGGCTATATTTCTTTTTAAATCAAATAAATTTAATAGAAAATATAAAATAAGAACAGCGGATTATATATCTTACTGTTCTTACTTTTTATTATAATATTTATATATATATATATATATATATATATATATATATATATGTGTGTGTGTGTGTATATATATATAGAGAGATTATTACATATATATATTATATGTATTATAATTAAGTTATATAATATAATATATATTTATAAATATATATTATATATATATATATATATATATATATATATATATATATATATATATATATATATATATATTATATATCTTTTTAATGTTTTCAGATACTTATGGCCCGGGTAAACTTCATTGAATTTTAATTGCTCTGTTTCCACTGCGTCTGATGGATTGAACTCAATTATATAAAAAATATCATTGACGTTTTAATTTATCAAAATAAATATATACAACGAATTTGACATAACGTGAGTTCTTGAAGTAATCCCCATCGGCATCCAGAACATTTTGGCAACGTTCCTCCTTTAACGCAATGCCCTGGAGGTAAAAAATTAGGTGTCTTGGAAGCAAAGAACATTCTGAGTGCCTGCAGCAAGTCTTCATAATTTGCAGGTGGTTGTCCTGGGACCGATGCCTGGCGTTGCGTTCACTCACAATATTATCACCAAAAGCTTGATGTATTCAGGGACTTGATGCTGACAAGCCCACCTTAAAGTCATAAAGCAGCCATATTTATTACAACGTTTTAGTCGTTGTACGCTCCGGTCTACTTTAGGTGATTGGAATGTCGAACTGAACACTTTATTTCGCTCACTGGGGTAGCCTGTTCTAATTCCAACTGCCATGCTTAATGGATGTCAGTTAGCAGTTATCTCCTGTTAATTCCCCTCTCCAAGTTCTACACTGCCTTAACCGGGTATTGAAGGACACATGTCACAGCTGGTGATAGTCCGAATAATGTAAATAGTTTACATAATACCTCATCTCAGAAATATAGACAGATCCTGAAATATATCTTTAATTATTAATGGCTTCCATATTATTATTTTTTGTGCGTACATTGTAGCAAAATTTTACAATGGAAATCCTTTTCATTCATGTTTGTATTCGATCATTATCTTTCAAAAATATTCTGGCTATTAATGAACGAAAACAATACGATCGTTTTGCATTTTCCGAGATATGTTTTCTGAAATTGCTTTGTCCTCTGTCTTCTTATTTTTGTCGTTAATAGAATAATGTGTGACGATAATAAAGAATTTATAAAGTATTTAGCGAATATATCTCATACTAAAACCGACATCTTACGGTGAGATATCATGTTAGGAAAGAATCGTACACCCAGAAATGTGGCGATATCGCTTATCGATTCATATATCAAGAGGCCAATTTTTTTTTTATTATTATTATTGTTTTTCAACAAGTTTTACATCTTAAGTTGTAAATAAAAAAAGATGGCAGAAGGTGATAACCAGGTACTCAAAGCCTCGTTTTCACATTATCGTCTGCTTTCATTCATTTTGCCGACAGACGATTCGTTATTCAAAAGGCGGCAAAGTAATTAAATAAGACTTTATCGATAAAAAAATGGAAAAAAGAAAATTACTCAATATTTTCACAATTATTTTTCAAGTTTTAGTAAATTTTTCTGTGTCGTGTTTAGATTAGTTTTAGATCTTAACAAATAGGTTATTGTGAATACAAGACTTTTTACATACAAAGACTAAAGAAATTTCTTTTTCCCTGGAATAAGTAAAGTGCTGAAGCCATATATATGCAAAAGCTGCCAGTCTTCACTTTCTAATCTAGATAGAGTCCAAATGTGTTTCCGCGTCCCTGTGGGTGTTGAATTATTTCCATCCTACAACACCTTTCCGCTAGACAAAACATAGCAGGTTTCTCGCTGCCCTATCGCTATTTCCATGGAATGTGTTCAGACCACCAGTTATAGATTTCACGGCTAATGCTACGCACGTTCTAAGGAACTACATTCATTTCGTTTGTATTCCATTGTTGAGATGTATTTTCTACTCGAACAACTTCTCTCGTGCCACTGTTTTACGGAACTGACTCCCAAGTGAATGTTTCCTCGATCAGTACTATCTTAACATTTTCAAGTCTAGGGTTAACCTTTGTTTTCCCCACGTGATCCACATAAACCGTGCCTTTTATTTCGTCACTCTCTACTTCGATTGGTTCTTTGGACTTGTACATGGTGAACAACCTTCTAAAAATAAAAATAAAATACATGACGAAATTTAGCCGAAAATGTAGCAGCGTACTTATATATATGTCACACTCGTAATGTGCTATATATATTTATATTTAATTGCTGTATTAATTTATATTTTTTTTGTTTTAGGCTTTTCTTTTTAAATCTATTCTGTATATATATTTTACTTCAAATATTCGCGTAAGATATGTATTTTGAGAAAAAGCACATTATACTACAGGAAAAATCTTAAGGTTTTACGATATGAAATATATTTTAATTTCCTTTTTAATGATCATTATCTTAAAGGACTGAACTATCTTTTATCTTAAGAAAAATTAAGAATTTAAATAATTAGGTCCTACTTTTTTAGGTGCCAGACACAAATAGTTTTTTTTTTAATTCTAATTTCTATAAAAAAATATTTAAATAAGAATACGTTTAACTTTAAATTTAGATTTAATAGTTTAATCACTTCAAATTCAGTGGTAATTAATAATCCCGTTCTACCTTATAATACTGCTAATTAAAATACTTAAATATTGCTTATTACTATTTTTACTTGTACATTTTCGGTGAATTGTCCGTCTCCCAAATGTTTATCCGCCAAACGTCCGTTCGGCTAAATGTCCGTTCGATTAAATGTCTCTCGTCCAAATGTCGGTCGGCCAAATGTTTCTCTATACTTACTGCTGCTGCTGCTGCTAAAGCCTTACTGAAGCTAAAGCCTTATTCTAGCAATTACCCCCTCCCACGCCCAACTCCTTTACCCCGTCGGCGAATAGAACGAGAACCTTTCACCATCAAGCACAGTCTGAGGCTCATACAATAGCGTAAGACGTCACTCGACCGGACAAATCATTCCACGTTTTGTTTTGATTCTCGTTTCAGTCGGTGAACACAAGACCCCTGGAAAAGAAGCAGTGTGTGTTCACAAAGGAACACAATATGAAAATAACTCAACGGTGAGAAATGAAAACACAAATCCTGCTCCCAACAGATCAGTTTATTGATTCGATGTTTATTTGGCACAGTTGACGACATTTGGTAGATCTTCGCTACTCCTTCTCTCTTCACTCACGACAGACTAACGGACCAGATCTTGCGGGAATTCTTACCACCAGTCCATACATCACGACCAATGGCTTGCAGCTAGCCAAAGGCTGGCTCGAAA